TCAAATGGTTCACACAACACCAAATACACTTGGAATAACTTGAGAGAAAGTTGAACACTCCTTGAAATCGTCTAGCCCTCACACTCACACATTAGTGCACGATTTCTTGAGCCATGGGATTCTTTTATATGGTGGCTATTAGGGTTACACCATGTAACTCATAACTTTACCCATTCCTTATGCTCCATGGATTTTAACCTCCATGGAGTATCCATGGGTCACCCCATGGACTTAGTCCAACATAAGGAATCTTGGATCACAAGCCCACATATATAAGAATGAATGATTTACACAATCAACCCATATATTTAATTAGTCTCCTTTTGATCACTTAATTAATTCCAAATTAATTCTTGATTAATACTAGTTAAATAACCTTATTAATATATTAGAACTTATAATATATTAACCAACCTTAAGTGTTATTTCTCTCATTATAGTCTATCCAAATGCATGATGCCATGCAACCCAAATGGACCATGCCGGGTCGGGTCAAGTCTTACCAATTATAGTTATGGACTTAGACATTAATCCAACAAGTCAATCTATCTACCACTACCCAAATGGTATCGTAACCACTAGCGGTCTTGGGCAGTTTCGTGATAAAGTCCATTCTCATTTGTTCCTATTTCCACTCAGGAACCTCAGGTTGTTGAAGTAATCTTGAGGGATTTTGATGCTCTGTCTTGACTTTATAACATGTCAGGAATTTACCCACATAAGTGGCAATCTCAGATTTCATATTAGGCCACCAATACAATTTCTTCAGATCCAAATACATCTTTTCGGAACCATGATGTATTGAATATAGTGATTTGTGGGCTGCATCTAAGACTACGTTTCTGATGTCGCCAAATTTTGGTGTCCAGATCCGGTTCATAAAATAATGAGTTCCATCATACTTAAGCTCAAAACACTTATCCATTCCTCGCAAAGTTTCTTCCTTAACATTCTCTTCTTTCAGGGCTTCTAGTTAAGCTTCACAAATTTTTGCATTGAGGTTGGAATGGATGGTCATAGTCAGTGCCTTTACTCGTCGGTGTTTCGCATGTTCTTTACGACTTAGAGCATCTGCTACAACATTTTCCTTATCTGGATGATATCGAATCTCGCAATCGTAATCGTTAATTAACTCAACCAGTCTTATTTTCCTCATATTTAGTTCTTTCTGATTAAAGTTGTGTTGGAGACTTTTATGATCTAGTGTAAATAATATACTTGGTTCAATAGAGATAGTGTCTCCAAATCTTCAAGAAAAAGACTATTGCCCCCAATTCAAGGTCATGGGTTGTTTAGTTATGCTCATGGGCTTTGAGTTGTCATGAAGCATATGCAATGACTCTGTCGCTCTGCATGAATATGCACCTCAAACCCTGAAGTGACGCATCGCAGTATACAACAAAATCTTTAGTTCCTTCAGGTAAGGACATAATTAGTGAATTACACAACATCTGTTTTAGTTCCTGGAATGCAGTTTCCTGCTTGTCTCCTCATTCGAATTTAGTTTCTTTTTGTGTTAATGTAGTGAGAGGCTTAACTATCTTGTAGAAGTTTTCAATAAACTTCTGGTAGTATCCTGCTAGGGCCAAGAATTGGCGTACTTCCGTTAGCGTCTTTGGTGTTTCCCAATTCTTAATTGCTTCAACTTTTGTGGGATCCACGTGTATCCCTTTTTTACATACTACATGCCCTAGGAAGTGTACTTCTCTGATCCAAAATTCTCATTTGGAGAATTTTACGTACAACTTCTCCTTCCTCAACAGTTCCAAGATCAATTTCAGGTGTTGGCCGTGTTCTTCTTTAGTGCGTGAATAGATTAGAATGTTATTAATGAAAACTATCGTGAACTTATCTAAGTATTGCTTGCACACGCGGTTCATGATATCCATGAATACTACTGGTGCATTGGTTAACCCGAAAGGCATAACTAGGAAATCATAGTGACAGTGTCGAGTCCTAAATGCAGTTTTTAGAACATCTTCTTCTAGCACTTTCAGTTGATGATATCCAGATCTTAGATATATCTTTGAGTAGTAGCTGGATCCCTGGAGTTTATCAAACAAGTCATCTATTATGGGAAGTGGATAACGGTTCTTGATCGTGAAATTATTCAATTCGTGGTAGTCTTTACACATCTTGAAAGATCCATATTTCTTCTTGACAAATAAGACCGGTGCTCCCCAAGGCGAGAAGTTTGGTCTGATGAAACCTTTATCAAGAAGTTCCCGTAGTTGGCTTGAAAGTTCTTGCATCTCAGAAGGAGGCAATCTGTAGGGGATTTTGCTACTGGTTTTGCTCCTGGAATCAAGTCGATTCTGAATTCGACGTTGCGTTTTGGTGGTAATCCATAAAGGTCTTCTAGAAACATGTCGGGATAGTCACATACCTGAGGTATGTCTTTATTATTTTTTTTTGCTCTTCTTATCTAATACATGCACCAATAAGGCATATTACTTCTTGTATAGATATTTCAGAGCTTTAGTATAAGAAATAAGCTTTAATTTTTGACCCGACTTTTCACCATATATAATCATGGTCTCCCCATTAGGTAGTGTTAGTCGTACAACCTTTTTGAAATGCAGAATTTCAGCATGGTGAGGAGATGGCCAATCCATACCGATAATTATGTCAAAGCTCCCTATTGTCATTGGCATTAAATCGACTTGGAATGTGTGGTCTTTCGGAATTAGGATGCAGTTACGTAGGATTTCGGTGGTGCTTTCTATCTGACCGTTTGCTACTTCTACTTCATATGCTACATCTAACTTACTAGACTCGTGATTTAATAGTTGTTTCAATGATGGGGTTATAAAACTTCTATCAGGACCGGAGTCAAAGAGAATTATAGCATATAAGTTATTGATGAGGAACATACCAGTAACCACCGAGGGGTCTTGTATAGCATCTTTTCTTCCAATCACAAAAGCCCGACCATGAGCATTGCCATCGCCTTTCTTTAGTTTCTGGTAATGTCACTTGTAATTCCCTTTTTCTCCATATTCGAAACAAGATCCTCCTCCTCCTGACCCTAATCTAGTGTCCATGTCTTGTACTGTCGCAACAAGTGTTGTGCTTCGAAATTTTTTTTACAGTATTCCCTTTTCTTGTTGCATATGGTACAGTGGAAAATTTCCCCAATATGGTGTCGGTTGCATTTGGTGCATAGTGGTTGTTTCCAACATAAGCCTTTTGTTGGGTTTGAATTGGGATCGAAGTCACAACATACGCCTTTTCAATCTGTTGTTTCTTTTGTTGGCTCTGGTTTCCTCCATTGGACTTCCGTTTGTGGTGATTATTGCCAGTTTTTGGGGTTTCAACCTTATCTATCATCGTCCCTTGATATATTTCAATCTTAGTCAATTGAAGTGTCAGCCGCTTAGAACTTAGATAGGTTGTAGGTTTCGATGAAATGAGCATCCCTTTTATTTGGGGTGCTAAGCCCCAAATGTAACGTTCGACTTTCTTGCTTTCAGGGGTCACCATTCCCGAGAAGAGAAGTGCAAGGTCGTTAAACCGAGTTGTATATGCTTTGATTTCAGAACCTTTCATTTTTAGGTTCCATAGTTTGTGTTCTAACATCTGCACTTCATCTTGTGGACAGTATTCTTGAATTAAAAGAGCCTCAAAGTTTTCCCAAGACATGGAGTTTGCAACTGACACTCCCAGAGTTTTTAGATGATCATTCCGCCAAGTTAAGGCTCCATTCATCAAGGTACATGTGGCAAACCGCACTTTGCTGCCCTTAGGGCAGTAGCAGATCTCGAAGACTCCTTCCGTCTTTTCGATCCAACGAGTTAGACTGATGACTCCCTCATTTCCATTAAAGTTTTTTGGTTTGCGATTCATGAAGTCCTTGTATGAACAAGTCCTTTGAGGTTTTTTGGGATTTGAGTTTAGAGTGCTTCCGAGTCCGTTCCTAAGCCCATTCACTTCCACGATAGGTCTTCCAGAGTCCAGGTTAGTAGTAGTTTCCAATGCGATTGAAATGCGTTCAAATATTAGTTGTTCCATTTTTGCGGTCGTTTGGGGAAGCCTTGCCTCAGGGGGTGGTGGCATTGGTGTGTTAGAAGATGGTGTTTCTGTTACCGGGGTCACCGCTGGATTTGTTCGACCCTTTTTGGGACGCCTGGGTTTAAATGAGTGCTCTTTCTTGGCGGCATATTAACGTCCTATAACAGTCTGTAAGTTTGCGATGTTAGTGTTATTCATTTCAAGCATTTATATTAAATGACTATTTTTGTTTGTAACCTTTTCATAACAATTATTGTTCACAAAATGGTTCATATGATAGTTCAACAAAGTTTTAAAACTAATTACATCATATATTTCATTTTAAACATTACTATCCGTTTACATTGCTCTTTACATGTACAAAATATAAAGACCTAACTTTTAGGGGTACAAAATCCCTAGATTTTGCTATAATACAAGTGAAACAAGCAAAACTAACGATGCTCACATAACTTAACATATCTGAAGAGTTACTCAAAATTTTGCAAGTTTAACAACTTGTCCTGCTACAACCCGATCCTTCTTATCACCATAAATTAATGAATTGGGTCACCGCATTGGACAACTCAGTGTGCCTTGCAAACAGTTCTGTGTGGTATGATATGAGAGTTGCATGCCTTTATTCGAGTTTCTCATGGATTTCAACGAGTGCTACATGTATTTATTTTATTCCGTGTGCAAGACAGAGCAATATCGTTTTGATTCTCCATAGCAGTCATCCTTGCATTGCAGTTCATCCAGTTGCTATGGTGGTAGTTCATCCTTTGGTGGAGGTTATCCAGATCAATCTGGTATTGTTCTTGCTGACTCTCCATACGAGTCATTCCTCCTCTCGTTTGCGCTACTTTTCCCTGTATGGCACTTAGTTCATCACTAGTATACCATACTTGTCCATGCAAGAGGGTGTTTTGTTCAAATAGGAAAGACAAGTCATCGATGTTTATGGAAGATGGGGGTGCAGTTCCAGATGCTTGACCTTACTTGAAAGTTCATGCGGCCTTCCATTCAGATATCCACTTATTCACCTTGTTACTCTCCCAAGCAGGTTGATCCACCCTCTTTTGGGTGTAGGAAAACCTCTTGTTTTGCCTCAGAGTTGTGGGTCGCCAATCTGGAATGGATATCCTGGCAGTTTTCTTGGGACGTCGACTTGGAACTGTAGTGAAAGAGCAATTTTGGTTGGATGGAGGTGTGACAGATGATTCTGCATCAGTTATCATGATCACTTCGGCAGCATCATTCTCATCCATATCTTCTTCGGGATCCTCTTCCATATCTTCCTCAGGCTCTTGTTCTCGTGGGTCTTCTTCTGGATCCTCCTCCATGTCTTCCTCAGACTCTTCTTCTTCGATCTCAATCTCCTCATGTTGTATCGTTGCCTCCTCAACTTGTGGGATTGGGTTGTATGCCACAGGGAATTCATGGTAATATGGATCTCCAAGGAGTACATGAAACATGGGTTGGTCGGCTGGGGGTTGGACCATCCTCCACAGTTAATCCATCTAAAATAGGTATTGAAAAATATTAGAATCTACGGTACATCGATAATTATAAAAAAAAATATTATACTTATATAATATTTGAAACTATCAATTATTCGTGTCTATTGACTGGTTTTAGTTTTTCTTAAAACTCCAAGTTTTTAGTTTATCAATTATTTCATTTAGGTTGGATAATGCACAACGCCCAATCATAATAAAAATTAGGTGCGCGAGCTAGGTTTAGTTATGATAAAGCCTATGTATTATGAAACCTATTTGATTAATTGATCTAAATACTTGTGTTTTAAGTTTTTTATATAATTCGTTACACACATAAATGAGTTTGTATGAAGCTTTATAAAATCGATAATAATTATTATTTATGTTTCATAAAAAATCTATATTAAAGTTTTTGTAGGATAGCGGTATATCTATACCTACTAGAGCAAGCTCTGGACTATAGTTGTATTTTAAACAAAAATACTTAGTTCTCTATAGTCGTTAGCTCTGACATCAACCTGTCATACCCCGACCATCGACGGAAACGCTGGGATTGCGATGTTTACAATTGGAACCACAGTCAACCACATATATATATACATTCATAAATTAATATATTACAAACTTTAGTTTCGATTACAACATCGTAATTTTTCAAACATAACGATAAAATAAATTAAGTTTATAACAAAAGAAAGGAAATATAATTTCCTTGAAACCGATGAATTACCTCCAACTTCTTACTTACCTGATAATACACATTTAAAATAAGTCAACAAATATTTGTTGGTGAGTTCCACAGGTTTTTGACTCTGTGGATTTTATATAAAATAGTTTAATAAAATTTGGATTATTTGTAGAAAGATGTTCAAACCAAAAATGTTATTGGTATAATTACTGAGAAGTATATACCTGTAAACCGATCCAAGTATTTATGTTAACTTACTTATAACACAAAAGTAATAATCAACATCTTTTCGTGAGGTGCAATATAAAGTATTTATTTTATATAAATAAATACAACAAATTGTTTAACATCCTACAAGTGAAACCTTATACTACATACAACCTTGCCGAAGTTTGTATTAGTATTTATGTATCCGAGATTTTGTTGAGTAAATAACCGATCTATGACTTGTTCACGCCTCTGTGAAGCACACTAAATAGGGTGGTGCTTATTTTCCTAACGACGCTTCATCGACTTCATGAGAAAAGAATAAGATAAAAACAAGAAGTTATCGTCCAGTTTGTCTAGTCACATAAAGGTTGTAATTTGCAACCACACGGACAGGGGTGTCAACCCGTATAGATCTATACACAACATTCTTCGCTCACAAAGGATTAATGGTTATTACATAGGACTTCACTAAGTTGGTGTTCTTAGTTTTGATGAATGAGAAAAACTCCCACAACAATTCCAATTTCGGTTCAACAATTGTTTATGTTTGGAAACTTGTTTAAAATCAATACCGTTTCCTACCAAAAGTTCGACAACACCCCGAATGTAAGTGATTTTAATCAAATCGTCTGACCATATGTATATCTAGACTTTATGATCATTTTGTGTACAACACATATTATTCATTCTAAGGACACTTTTATTTCCTAAAATTGTAAAAACAAATAAAATCATAAAAAAAATCCTTGTTTATGTCTATTAAACATTTAAAGGTTTTCATAAGTTCTTATAAAATGTTTAAACTTGAAATCAAAAGTTTATATGACATATTTGATGATTTTTATAAATACAACTATATATATGATTATAATTTGAAATAAAAGTTTGAATATACCACAAATATTCATCACAATATATATGTGACATCAAATATAACTATAAACTTATGTAGCCATATTTTAAGTTTAAACCATTGTTTATGTGTAATCTCCCGTGGAAATGTTTAAAACATTAAAAAAAAGGAGCCCTAGAAACTCACCCTTGTCACGTAACGTTAGATGGTTAGAGTACGTATTGTTTTTGGTCCCACCCATGCTTGAGTGCTTCCAAAAACAGTGGTTGTTTTGGAGTGAAAATTACCAACAAAAGACTATATAAACTGCTAAAATGGTGGCTGAAAACTGAGGGGTAGCAGCCCTGTTTTTGGCTTTGGTCTTGATAGTTCACAAGTAGGGAAATTTTGGCTGAGTTGTGGTGGATATTTAAAGACGATTTGGTTGTAAAGAAGAGGGAAAAAACAGGAAGGCTTGGTATTTATAGGGGAAGGAATGGCGATGGAAGTATCTTTAGTAATGATAATATATTATATATCTTGCAAATGGTATCGCACTTGAAAGTCTAGTTTCCTGAGGATAAAGTCTAGTTACTTGGAGATATTTAGTTAGTTAGAGATAGTGGTTCATTAAAAAAAATATTTTGAGAAGGAGTAGGGAGTGTGAATGTGATATATAATGCAAATGGATGTGAATAATCTGATGAGTGTGAATAAGCTATGGGATGCGAAGGGATGCAACTGAGTCACAATATAGTGTTATCGGATGCAAAAGTGATATTAAATGTGAAATGATGTTGAGTGAGAATTGGATGGATGTGAACCGATGCGAGCGGTCGCAACGAATCACAGTCCGATGATTATGGATGCGAAGGGATGTAACTGAGTGAAAATGCTCGCAAGCCAGCCTTGTCATTTGTGGATCCGATGCGAATATGAAACACTTCATAATGACAACAATATGCGAACGAGTGGTGGATGCGAACAGGGATCAAGTTGCGATCGGATGCGACCAAATGTGATTGATCGCAATCCCTCACAGTCTACTTCTGATACGATTCCACCTCGAAACTCAAATTTCGATTCTTAGACTTGGATGTGATCCTCAAAATGGGTCAATTATGATGCAAACCTCATAACCCCTAGGGATCTTATTTAGTTTATAAAACTCATATTATATAATGTTTAATAAAATGCATTGTACAATTATTCCCATTTCTGTCAATTGTTACATACATATATGTCTCAACTAATTTATTAAATGATTGATTATTTACTTAATCGTTTTTTATAACGGTCACCTTCATATTCAGTAATGAATAGAATTCTATAGTAGAGCAAGCCGTAGTGATTTGGGAGCATTTTTTGGAGATGTTTCGTGCTGAGTATGTTCCATTTGTGGAGAGAGAGAAAGATTGGCACAGGAATACCTGTCACTCAAGCAAACAACCGAGTCGGTGACAGAGATCACCAAGATGTTTACAGAGAGAGCTCTTTTCTGCCTAGAATATGCTGCTTCAAAGCATGCGCAAATTTCGCAATACCTAAGTATGCTCAAGACTGAGATTAGAGAGATTATGGCGAACACCCAATATCAGACATTGGTTGAGTTGCAGTTGAATACCAGAAGGAGAGAGATGGAGTTAGAGACCCAAAGAAAGGAGGAGAGGTCAGTTTCAGTGTGGTTGCAGCAGGCGACCAAGCGGTTCATGTCTGCTAACACGAGAACATGACCAATAGAGTGGAGGAGTTCCGGGTGTGATAAGTGTTGGAAGTTTCATGATGCAAGGTGTCGATATTTTTCATGTTGCAAGTGTATCAAGGATTGCAGGCAGAGTGTACGGTTTTGATTCCATTACGATCAGGTTGGCCACATCAGAGCCCATTGTCCCCTTCTTGTTTTCGGTGAAGTGCATAATCCCACACCTTTAGCATGGCAGATGCCAGATGGAGGCCAGGGGAGGGCTGAGGTGTCTAGGACTGAAGGAAGAACCTACCAATTTGTTGCAGAGGATCCAGGTGTGGCGACTATGTTTTCAATTCATATTTATTTCCTTATTTTTTTGCATTTATGAATTGGGTTCTTCTTTTGGAAGTTTTCTTCTAGATAAATGTTAACCTGTGTATACATTTGAGTTGGAAGTGTTACAAGGTTCTCGATGGACTGCATTGTTGGGGTGATTCGACTCGGGGCTTTCAAATTGATCCCTCTACATGTTCTTTTTTATGAAGGTTTTAAGAGTTGAGTGAGCGATTCGAAGGATTATCCTACTCCATTTCGGGTTATTCGTTAGGAGAAGGAATAAGTAGTGCTTCAGCTGGCTCGAGTTAGAGCTTTAGTTTCGTTTGGGATGCATTCAGATGATTTGGATATTCTAAGTGCGGGAGAGTGGAGATTTTGTGGCGAAAAGACTTCATGCCAACATGTAGTTTTTAGCCAGATTGCTCAACTTCAAGACTTTCATGAAATTGCTTAATCTTCTGATTTCGGCATCGGGGTTATTGCTAGTTGTTGAGTTCCTTTCGAAATGTCTTAGTTGGTGGGTTTGACATGAAATAATGTGGAAAAATCATTATACTCTTAAGGGTACATGCAACCTAATACATATGTGTCATAACACCATTGAAACAATATACTATTGAACAACGAAACTTATAGACCCTAGTAGAAATCAAAATTTAGAAAAGGGTTACATACCTTTTTTTACTCCAATCATGCTAATCAAAATCTACTTGTCTCTTTGGAAAACCTAGCTCCAATAGTGTGCGAGCCTCTAATGGTTCACATCCAAAACGCAAGAAACCCTAGGATTGAAGGAGAGAGGGGAAAGGGAGGGGAATTTCGTTCTCCCCCTTTAGGTATGAGAGAGCCACGAAAATTAGGTTCCCACGGGTCATATTTATAGTCTATGTAACTTAGGGACAAAGCAAGATTTGAAGGATTAAATAATAGATTTAATCACAACCCAAATCCTTTCCTTATTAGCAACTAGGATGCTTTTGGAAACCCCAGGAAAGGCTCCAAACTGTCAATGCCATGGGAGATTCTATAATTGCCTCTTTTGTTCAATTATTGAATAATTACAATTCACCGCTTGCACCTTTAATTAATTCCAATTAATCTTGAATTAATTCCAAATTAATTCTAATTAATAAGTAATCAATTATAACCTATTTCTAATTAATTTATTATTCATATAATAAATTAACAAATCATAAATTAAAATTTCTAATTAATATATTAATCACATACTATATTAACAAAACATTTTATCTCTCTCTTCTTTGATCAATCTAAGCCATTTCCTGGTTATGATGACAACTCAAAAATGGATTTACTTTATTTCATCAACATATACCAATTTAGTTAGGACCTTAGACACTTAATCCAATAGTCTCCCACTTAGATAAGTTGATAACTACAATTTCAAGTACAACTCCTAATAACCACTAAAGCGTGTTTTTGAATGACATTGCCAAACTATGATTAAACGTTGGTCCTAATATAAGTGATCAACTATCCCTTCGTTCTACATGATATAATATGGATACGAGACATGAATTAGAATCAATCTCATTGTCCAAGATTCTGTTTCTTGATTTTCCCAATTTATGACGTTTGAATTCAGACAACCTATTGAACACATCAATTTAGTCTAGGCTCGACCAAGCACTTCAGATGTCAACAACAAATCATCAAGGGGCCCAAATATATTGCTTTTCCTGTTAGGGAAAAAGGAACGAATAAACTTTGACTATATAATCATACATTTATCCACCAAATCATGTATGTAATTACACTTTATAACATAGTTACGAGATGCGTTGGTGTAAACCAATGCACAACAAATTTCCAAAACATGACTTATATATCTTTGTTTGATGAATAGAAGATATTATCGTCTTACAATTACTCATGATTGAATCCATGAAGTAATTTCTAAGTGTGGGTTTAACCAATACTTAAAACTCTATTTTCAAAGTACTCATGAATATTGCAGCAATCTCTATGCAATGTCTAATCCCTATGGACAATCTACAATCAATTCATGAGAGTCTTAAATCAATTCCTACTCCCAAAAGTGTGACTGGCTATGGCATTTTGAATATATTAATATTCAGGAAGTAACACGCAAAGTGAAATACAATAATAAACTAACTGTTCTATGGATTCACATTCTTTAAACATAAATATTCCCTATTAATTAATCACCATAACAATTACAAATTTTATCCACTGTATAAATATTTTGGGAAATCGACTTAACAACTAAACTTGTCAACAAAGCTCATGCCAATTCTCTTAAAATGCAATCATGTTTTCCTTTGGTCATTACTTATTGTGAATGAATCATCTAAAAGATATTCACTTCAGAACTTATATCTCCATCCTCAACATTTCTTGGATGTTTTCTCCTTCTATGCATTGACCTTCTGTGATCTCAAGAATCCTTGTCAATATGACTGCACTTTCACAGAATGTTTCTAATGGGAATTTGTTACTCAAAATAAGTCCATGGTCAACTATGAAGTTTTCTAGTCCAAGTACACTCCTTGGATACTTCACTTGCACTAATGTGGTCTTACCTACATTGCCGAATCTACCACCATATCTTACATGAAACCTTTCATGCTACAAATAAAAATGAATGTCCATTTAGATATGACTCAAAGTCATCTAAACTTCATGTCACTATAACTCTTTTCAATCATGTTTTGTTTTGTCTACAAGCAACCATTCCTTGGTATCTTTCAATACCTCAGAATGTTCTTGACAGTTGTCTAGCATTTTGGTCAAACAAATTTCCGATATAATCTCACGATGCTCAAGACATTTGAGAAATCAAAATAAGCACATGTCATAGCATTCATGATCGATCCTATATCTGAAGAATATGGTACTCGACTCATTCCATCAAGTTCATGTCTAGACATAAGACTTTGGGATTCACTCAAGTCCTTGCTATGAAGCATATAAACAATCCCTTTCTTGGAATTTCTTATGTTGAAACCTTTCAACACATTGTGCTTTGACAAGAATCCTATTAAACATTTTGATCTATACTTTTTGATCCAAATACCAAGTATCAATGTCATTTCTCCTTGTCCATTATAGCGAAACAATTCCCGAGCTTCTGCATATTGCAACTTAGGATAATGTTTCCTATGAAAAGTGTTTTCATCTACATGCAATACTGGGAAGACAATGACACTGCCACTAGCTTTGACATGTACTCAAGACTCATCTGGACTTCTAGAAATACAATACTCTTTGACTTTCTCATGGAAGAACAGATTCCTGCTACACGATGCTCGCCTAAATGAATATATTTATCAAGCATACACACCTTATTTGGACACTTTGTATGTTTAAATCCTTTCAAAAGATTTTATATATTCTTTGAAGGTTTCCTATTGATGAAATTCGTTTAAACATTCACTTTACCATATTTATAATCAAAGAAGGTAACAATGGTAACAAATAACCAAATAGACATTTCTCAGCTACTGGTGAGAATGTTTTCTCATAATTTATTTCTTGAGTTCTGAGCGAAACCCATTTCTACCATACTAGCTTTGAATGTGTGTATATTCCAATCCATGTTAGTCTTCATATTGAAGATGTAATTTCAACACACTATCATAAGACTGGATTTACATCAACCAATTTCAAAATTAGTTATCCTTCATGAACAAAATATCGTTATCCGTAGAGTCTTCTAATGGTAGCCATAGGGCTCACCATTGCTTCCTAGTATCTATTAGGCTTATCTAGATTGATCAATGGTTTATCACAAATCAATGAATCTCCTTCCACAGTTAGATAAAACTCATAAAACTTGGAAGGTGCTCTAAATCTACTATATCTTGCGATTAGACAAGGCAATGCCATTTGACTCAACTGGTTTTTCCAACCTCAGGTTGAGATCTAGTGCTAACTATAGGTTCATTATCGGTCACATATTGAATTTCTTCAAGTTCAATATGACTTCCACTGACTTCTTGATATCTATTTGTTATTTTTCTCAAGGGACATTCCTTTTGAGCTATATCTAAAGTGTTTATTGAATACTCGATAATGTAACACTTCATAATTCTCGATTCAAATGGGTTATTGGTTTCTAGTCTAACGAAAGACCTCATAACACCAGATCTGAATGTGAGGGAACTTTCCAACTCCACATTTCATGAGGTGTTTTTCAAAACCTACTTAGTTGGATACAAGGTTCAAAATATGATCTACTATTTCAAGTGTATATTCCCATATTTTGTGAATGGTAGCAAAGCACGATTTATCATAGATTGAACCATATAGAATTAGATTCTCCTTTTAGTAACGTCATTACATTATGGTGTCCTTGGAGAAGCCAATTATGGAAATCATTCCACAATCTCTATGATGATCGTAGAACCTGATACTAAGGCATTCTTCTTTCCTTTCAGATTGAAGAACCTTTATCTTCATGCCCAATTGATTCCCTACTTTGTTCTGATACTCTTTGAAAATTTTCAAAGTGTCATACTTATTCTTAATTATATAAATATAACCACATCTACTGAACCTATCAATAAATATGATATAGTAGTATATATCGTACCTTATGGTGAATGTGATGGGTCCACACATTAGTGTGTACAAGATCCAATAATTCTTTATCAACATTACATGTCCATGTGAATGGTAACCTAGTCGTCTTGCCAACTTACAAGACTCGCATACATCATCCAACTTAAATTCAAATTATTCCCATGTTGGTCCAAATGAAGCTTGGTGATGCGATTCTCACTTATGTGGCCAAGGAAATCATGCCACAAGCGCGATCTAAACTATTAGAGGAATCAATACCCAAGTCATCACTGCTATTATTAGAAACACAGATAACAATTTCATGAATGCTAATTGCATGAAGATGTTTTAGAGATAAAACCATCATCTTTATAAACTAGGATTGTCAACTTTTCATTATAAAATGAAAATTGAAATTCATGTTTATACAACGCATATGATGAAATTTTGGTTTCTATACATCTCCAAAGAGTAACAGAAAGAGACTAGATTTATCCTATCTCCATTACCAAGCACAAGCTCAAAATCCTCAATCATTGACACATGCAACATTCGTCCATTCCAATGATTAGGTTTAGCTATTTACGCTTAACTTCCTTCGTTCCTATAGATCCTACAATGTCATCCAAATGTGATTACCACATCATGCATCAAGGGACCTTGAATTGGAAGTAATTGGAGTTTAATTATACAATTACTTGATGTAGAGTTAAACTTTTGATGTTACCATCCCAAAATACTTAGTGCAAGTTTGTTTCCTATGATCCTTGTCTTTGTAATAATTGCAACTGGCCTCTTTTGAATCATGGTTACATGGAATAAAGGACACACCAATTGCATTCCTTAATAATGGGAAGTTCTAGCTGAAACCGCTCCTTTCCAATTAGGATTCTAACATTTTCTATTTATTCCAACAACATTCAAAAGTGATAACTAGATTTGGACAAGAAAACTAATTCCTTTCCAATTTTCTCAGTTTAGAGAAGGTTTCAGAATCTCATCAATGTTTTCTCCATACTATTCATATGATAAATCAAGTAGATGTTATCATAATAACTAATGAAATATCCAAGCACGAGATCTATAGTAAGACTTTTTTCAAGGGTAACACTGCCATTCTCAAGTTTGTCTATGTAGCTCTTATTGATTCCATACAAAACTCTTTTCTTCAATTCGAATGTCATTAGGAACTTTTAATGATTTTTCGAAATCACTCTTATCTTTCCTTTTGGTGAACCATTTCACTCAAATGCAAATTCATATCATATGTTCACATGTTCACAAAATTCTTTTGGAATATTGAGGACATAAACATAATGTTACAAGAGAAGTTATTTGACAAATCTTCATTTTATGGGAATAACAACTTATCTAAAGTTGATGCATTATTGATTTAAGGGATATTCTCATTATGCACATCTTTCCCAATATCAAAAACGAGAAAGATCCCATAACAAATGTGCCATTCATGAGGGAGAACAAAGAGAAGCTAGAATTAAAAGGTGAGTGAGGAGGTGGGAGAGGATTCCATTTAACCTAAATGAGAAAGTATAATTAAGTCTAATAAGACTAAAATCTTTATAGATCGAATAGATTCTGAACAAGTATAATATGAACACGAAATAAAGTAAGAACACAGAATGAATCAACAATAGTGTCGAATGATTAAAAGTCACGCCTCAGATGAACTCGATGAAGAATTTCAACTGTAGAGGCGTGCTAGGGTTTACAATAATATCTCTATCAAAAACGTTAATGATCTACGGTGCATGCATGCACTATTAATACTTAAACCCTAATAAATGATACGGCTTGGACAGGCCCAATACCGAATACAGAAATTGGACTAACTAATAAGCCCAATGACGCAACACTAAATACCCAACAATCTCCCCCTTTGCGTCAATTGAGGCCCGAACCCTTCAGCCTTGGATTAACTTCTGCACATAATACACCTTCGGAATCATAGCATAAATTGCTTGGCGAATCTCGATGTACCATAGAACCATATCTGAGAAGCACTTGATATCATCTTTCTAGTTGCCTTTGAACTTGCTCACTTGCTCCAAAATGTATTCAAGGAAGGTTGTTGTATAGAGATGCTTATCAGAAAGATAAAAACATCATTTACGAAAGTCTACTCCAGTTCGTTCCCTAGCAGAGTAAACCATGAACCAATCTCCACTGTAAAGTTTCCCTGGCTTCAACTTTTCAAAATCCTTGGGAGTTTCCTTAAGTACAGCAGAAGGCTTCTTTTTCAGGATCACAGCAACCTCAACATCCATTTCCCCAATCTCCTGAATATAGCACTTAATCATGTGTTTGAGATGAGACATGACAGGTTCATATTTTTCTTTGTCCTTCAGTAATATGTTGTAAAGAACAAATCAGTCATATGGGTTAAGGCATGGAATATCTACGAGAGTAAACTCGTAGCATTGGCTGGCTGATCCTTGAGCCACTTTGAACTTGGCGTTTGGAAAGCTATCAGTCTCGATTGGCCATGTAACCTTCACACCGGTAATTTTGCTCAATGACCAGGTTTCGTATTGTGGCTTCATATGCTTCAGATAAAACGAAAACAACATATGATCAGCTCCGCTGTCTGTGAATGGAGCGTTGGCCACTTTAACAAAAGAACGAAATCTGAAGGCTTTTGGAGTAATTGGCAGATCCAGTTATGAGTCTCGTGTGTTCTAAAGATTAAACAAAACTACTGGTTCTAACCAATACTGGCTTGGAAGATCAACAGCATCACGCTGGATTTGCTTCAGGGTCCATTTGGGGAACAAGAGCTTTTTGCTCTAAAGAGTAGCATGTGCTTCTTTCTCAGTCCTTTCTTTTTCTTCAGCTTCACGGATGATTCGCTGGTGCTCATCTAGTTCAGCTTCACGAACTTTTCGCGTTTTTAGTTCTTCTTCAGTAGGCTCTTCTTCGTCTTCATTATCAAGAATTGGGTCGTCACGGAATAGCTTTTTCTTGCCTTTGGGTTCATTCTTGACAATAGGCTTGACTGGAGCTTTAGGACCTTCTTTTCTTGATCCACCAGCCACACTTTCTCCCCCTTGTTACGGATTAAAGGTTTGATCAGAAACACCTTCAAGGCGGTGAAGCATGGCAAAGACTGGCCTTAACTTTTCTGCCAGATGCTTACGCATGGTGATGGTGATCATGGAATCCTTGGTCTCAATGATATCCGAGAGCATGCTAGTGACATCAGTTATACAGCTTCGCATGACTGCCCTCTCAGATAACAGACCATGGACCTGCTTCTCCGAAGCTTCAAGTTTGGTACTTAACACCTTGGATTCTTCTGACTTGAGAGCGAGAGAGTCCTTCAAGGTACTCTCCTTCATCAGTTCGTCTTTAAGCTGAGAAAGCTGAGACAAGATATTGGCTTGAAATGATTCATGATCAGTTTTAATACCAGTACGAATCTCCTGGAGTTTCGTCTTCTCAGTCTTGAAGAAAGAATCCAGACTCTTCAATGCTTCGTTTGCTGAAGTGGTGTTGGAATTGAAACTGGTTTGAAAAGTCTCCATGAAAGAATTAGGCCATGTTTGATAGTTTCTGACTGAGAAAGTGCTGACTGGGAAAGGTCTGTCTAGGTAAGAAATCTTGACTGAGTAAGAAATCATGTTGTTTGATTGTACATCTGACTGGATGTGCTGACTGATGAAAAATGACCATTTTACCCTCGTTCTAAACCAACATGCTAAAACATTAATATTTAAAGTAATTTATCATAACTTTCATCATGATCAAGAACAATTTTAAACATAAAACAATTTTCTACTAATGAAACCAACATCATCCTAAATAATAATAGCACAATTAAGGTCAACATTGGCAACATATATCCGAATAATATTCAAAGATTACACTAACCAATTCGTTTAAATATTCCAAGATTACACTCTTATAATTCTCAACAATCATCACCATTAATGAAAACATTACAATCTCTAAATGCATTATCACCTTCTTGTGTTTCACCTACTAACCAATTCCTTTTGAGAGCTTAGATTGGCCATAATCAAAGTTTTTGACCGAGTATCTTGGGGTTACGGATGGACATCAAGGAAATCAAAGATTAAAAGCAAATCAGCTATAGATATAAAAAGAGAACATATGTTCCTTTGCAGCAGGCTACCGGTTAAATTAATAAGATAAGTAAACAAGACTGAAATTCCAAAAAATAGAAATCTACATACGTTCACAGTTTGTGGCTCTTCATCACAACTTTCCTCAGCCACACCACTCTCGTCTACCTTTTGTTTATTGCTATTTACTACTTTCTTATCAATATTCTCCTCTGGTTCCCTCTTGCCTATATCTCATAAAAACCATCAAACCACACAAGAAGCTACAACCTTTTTACAAATACTAAAACCATTATTATCAATTGGAAGACCCAAACTAAACTATTTCATACATCAGTACTTAATTAAAAAATAAAAATATCACCAAACTACAGGCTCTCAATCAAGACTAGACTTTACAAGGGTAGGATTTTTGTCCTTCATATAAAAAATAATTTCTAATCACAAAACACAAGAATAATATACATCTCAATATCTCATACACATACGAACAGTATAGTATAATTTATAAGATAGCCCTTAAAAAGGAATAATAAATTTAAACATTAATTACCTGTTTTCATTGCTTTGGTCGGCTGAACTACAAGATTTCAGATTTTAAAGCTTATAGGTCATCGAAAAGAAGTAGAAATTAGAGGGTAGGATTCAAATTTCATAATAATAGCACAAAAACAATTCTGATTTTAGAGCTTATAAACAATGAATTTTTTATTTTAAAGGTTATGTACAAACGATTTTGATTGTAGAACTTACCTGCTGGAGAAGACGAAGATCCGACTGGGAGGGAGCTGTTCGATGTTGATGGAGGCAGCGATTGGGAATGAGCTGTTCGATGGAGGCGATGGAGGAGGCGTCTGATTTTGGACGCGGTCTCTTTTAGGTCACGAGAAAAATTTTAGAGGGCAGGATAGTCTTTTGGGCGAGTCAGCAACATCTTCACAGCTGAGCGAGTCATGCATTTGGGCCAGACAAGCTGACCGAGACAGCTCGTATCAAACACGAAAGTCTGACCGAGAAAGCTGATTTATCTGACTCGGTTTGGGTCAGATGGGTATCAAAAAGCCCCTTAGTTTCTGCAATTAGTTTATCGACTTTTTCGGTCGTGGACTTGCAAACCTCAGCAGAATCGGCGACAGCTTTACTCGATGTTTCAACAGTAGCAGAGTGTTGCTTCATGATTCGCTCAAAGAGAGACTCAACAGCTGCTTTGGCGTATGCATCAGTAGAGGAAGATTTGTTAGAGAAAATCAGTTGGTCAATCTTTTCATGGAGGGATTGGAGTTGCCCTTTCGTGACGTGCACCTCATCTTCACTCTCAGTCCGGATTTGGAAGGGACTGTAAGTAAAACCCCCAACATCTTCGTCTTCGTCATCACAAAAGACCATGTCTGGGTCATTACGGTTAAGAGGGGAAATGGGAGGCGAAACATGAGTGGAGAAGCCTGAAGTTTGAGCCCCCGTATCAGATACGTTGACTGAAAAAAAAGGTGGGATTGAGGTAGTGAAAAAACCTGAAGTCTTTGCCCCCGCATCAGATGTGTTGACATTGACGAGAGGTTCTCCTGTGGTAGTTGTTGTAGTGGTTTCAGTGTAGATGGGTGGCGACTGGGTAGTAGAGGTGGTTGTTTTAGAAATAACAGGTTGTGGTTGAGATGAAATTGGTGGTGGGCAAGGAGCGATGGTAATAGGAATAGTAGTGTGAGTAGGAGAAGGAGGTGGAGTTGGAACAGAATCGTTTACAGGTACCTCTTGATGTGGGGAAGGTGGAGGCGAATCACCACGAAGCGAACCCGCAGATTGACAACTTTCGCTTTCGCTTGATTCTACTCCAGTTGGATCAGAAGGAACGTACTCAGTATCGCTTATTGAAGATAAGCTAGGCTGAAGTGTCACCTTTCTGAGCTTTCGCTTCTTTGGAGCCGAAGGAGCTTCACCTTGAGCCTTTCGCTTCTTAGGAATTGGAGCTTGAGAATATTGACCTTCTTGAACCCCTTTATTCTTATTTCCCTTCTTGCCTCCCTTTTTGGGTTTATCAGCTTCATCTATGGAGCGTTGCATCTCAGAAGTAAGCTCCCTAGGACCCGAAGTAGGGTGCTTCTTGTACTCAGTGATAATTTTGCTAGCCCCAGAAACACATCTGTACATAGTCTCCGGAATATTCCCCACAAATAAAAACTTCGAATTATCAGCGAGAATAATCATCGTAGTGTGGAAGGTGGCAATCGACGACATTAATGAGTCCGTCAGCACCGGAACATTGAACTTTTCCATTGCCCACTGCACCACAATCGTTCAAAAACATGCGCAAGAGATCTCGCTGTGTAGAGATGAGAATTCATACTCTGCACCAAATGAGCCCAAAGAACGGACCCATAATCAAGGTTAATCCCATGGTAGAGGCCATAAAGGATTTTCATGAATGATTTGCTAGCACAGTCGGATCCAATTACTCTCTCAGAGAAAGCCTTGAAGAGAAGAGTAAATAGACCATTCCATTGGGGTGGAAGACATGACTTCTTGAACTTGGTGATAGTGGTAAGAAGATCAGTATGCCCCATTTGGTAGAACATGTCGAAGATTTGGGCAGTAGAAATAGACTACGGATTCACCAATGAATCGACATAGTTTAGCCCTAGAAGAGAGAAAAACCTAGACTTCGAGACTGAGTGTTTCTTATCAAGAACTTCAAAGACGATCTTTTCCTCCTCCTTGACATACTTAGCAGATGAAAAGGCCTTCGACAACAGTGACATTGGAACACATTCAACCTTGGTTAAGGCAGTAACCAAAGGTGAGTACTTCAAGCACTCGACAATGGGAAGCATGGACGCGTCATATTTGAACGGAGCCAAGCCGAGTATCAGGTTCTGGTTGGGCTTGATGGTAAGGAAAGAAGACTGAGCAGTGTGTTCTTGAACAGATGATGAATCGACCATTGTTGTAGGTTTGTGAAGAAGAAGATGAACCGTAAGAGAAATCGCCTTTAGGTTTCTTGAGAGTATTGAGAGTGGTAAAGACAAATAACGGATTTGGGAAATCCTTTTATATGATTTACTAGGAGAGAGAAAGATCTTTGATGAAGTTTGCATGATTTTCTCTTAAAAGACGCCTGAAAAAGCGCGATGTGACAACTTTTACTCCGAAAAAGATGTCAGGCGGCGTGATGATAGGAACCGTTTCAAATTCACGCGCCTTGTGGTTTGAAATCTTATCCATTCCTCCGCCTCTTCATATTTTTACCTAACACTTCATATTCCAATAATCTGAGCACCTTTTGTCTTTTGAAATACAAGACCATCATAGCATCAGGAAGCGAAACTGTGAATATGAAAAACACCATAAGTACCACGAACTAGATTTTTGGAAAATCATAAAGATCTTCGTGCAAGACTGTGCCAAAGAAAAAGAAATAAAGCAAAGTATATCTGTGGGATTTAGTGATGTCATATATGACACGAAACTGAGGATCCCGGGCACGAATCTCTTCCTTCAAAGTCAAGAGAGACTAAGAAGTGTCTGTGTGGTTTCTCGTTGAAGTACGATCAAATGTTTGTTAAGAAACATTGAAAGGCATCTTTTTAAATTCAGGCTTGTGAGGTGTGTTTCGCTTCAACTAAACTACGAACTTGATATAAGACCGAAAGTTGGATGAAGTACTTGTGTGGCCAGTGTAGCCTATAACATCAAGTAGGTTTGATAATTTTTCAGTGACTTGGTAAAATGTTTGAAATCTCAACAACAAAAACGAAACTGGATCTTTTGGGAAGAAATGTCTTAGTTTTAGACAATTTCATAAAGATCTCGCAAAAATAAAAGAGATTCCGTGAAACACCAAACAAAAGTGGTCATTTTTGGCGTGTTGGTGAAAAACTAGAACATTCAATTGTTCACCGTCAATTCATTAAAGGTGTTGGATTGTGGGTTTCACTCAGCACGTGGTAAAACGAAACTAAGATCATCAACACAGATGTTGTGTAACCGTAAACCTCAGTGGTAGTCTCAAGGGTCACGTTGACGACTCTTAACTCAATGTGAGAAGAGTAAGGTAGCTCATGACTTAAGTGAATTTAGCAGCCTGATTGGGAAGAAACGATTTGTATATATCGAATCGATAAGGCTTCACTTTAGAGTCGTTGAGGCTTTAGACAACATGTTGCAGCATGCATCTTGGGACGCCTAGCTAGTATAAAGATGAAGAAATTATATCTGCCTCATAACGCGAATTGAGATCAGCAACAAATAAGCACTTTTGTGAACAACTCAGTCATCTAGGAATATTCGGTTTTTAGATTTTGTGAAAAGTAAAAAGAAGTTAAAAAGTAAAGATAAACACAAAGAATAAAAATATTTTTGTATTTTTGATTTTCTAAATAAAACAAAAGGAAAATGTTTTTGTATTTTTGATTTTCAAAATAAAACAAAAGGAAAATATTTTTGTA